GTCACGTTGTACCTTGTGTCGACATCTGCCTATGAGTTGGTTGATTGTTCCTCCTAACTTGGAGTTATGACATGAGCTCAAGCCTATGTATCCTGAAATTGACTGAAACTTTAAGTTCATCTTCCAAAATATTATATGATATTACATGATGGCGGTGGAGTAGCAGAGCTGCGTTCAGGCTTCTGAGCCCAGCGTCCGTCTTTTAGATCTGGATGATTTTCTTTTGGTTCTGTTTCTTTTATTTCTGCTATTGTTTTTTTAAACGCTGGTTTTGTAACCAAGACAGCGCCAGAGAATGGTGACTTTGTACACTTTTCACTGTACTCCTGTGTTCCTATACTTAAATGCACATGGCAATAAAATCTAATTCTAAAATTCTGAAATCTTAAAAATGTTGTCAAGATCTTAGGGTCATCGTTAGAGATACCAAAGAATCTATTCTTGTTAGCCCTTCAGTGTCCAAATGAAAAAAAAATTGACTGCCTGTTGTTCTTTGACAATTATCTTTTGATTCAGGAAATAAAGATTGAATAACTGAAGTTCTGACAGAATCAAAGAAAAGTATGTTGAAGAAGTGACAATCCATGGTTAGACATTTGGTTACCTTTCTTTATGCTTTTTAAAATGCCAGTATAAGAATCTGTATTGCACTGCAGTGCTTTTTTTAGAATTGGCTTCTGTATTATTTTTTAAATTGCATGTTGCTGCCTGTAAAGAATTGCAGGCTTGTAGTAGGTTTCTGCCTAGAGGTGGCCTAGTGTCAAAAAGTTGGTGATGAAATTACATCAGAGATTTCTGAAGAAGGGTCCCAACCCGAAACGTCAGCTTTCCTGCTCCTCTGATGCTGCCTGATCTGCTGTCTTCCTTCAGCTCCACACTGTGTTATGTCTTATTTATGATGAAATTACATGGACTTTTTAAAGATTTTCATGAATTAGAGAAACAAATGGTGGAACTGACCAACATCTGGACATGGATGAGTCTTTTTAACATAGAAATCCACCTTTTAGTGATTTTCTTCTAGAAGTGCTTTGGAGCTGTCCTTTCAGAATCATTTTTAAGTTTCTTTTCAAACAAAAATTAGAGCCGAAGCCCCTCATGTTTGTTTTTCTCCCTTATGGGAGAGAAAGGTAAAGTACTGATGTGTTTCAGTACAGGTTTGTAACCATCAGTTTTGATTGTATTTGTTAACTTCAATTCTGAACTTGACAGATTGATATAAACCGTTAGGAAAAGAGTGTTCAGGGTAAGTTGTTCCATTTGGAGCTGCACTTTGCTCGCCAGATTCCTTTCCTTTCCTTTTTCTCCTCTTCTTCTCTCTCCTGTCTGCAGTAATTCTATCACCCCCCCCCGCCCTTTTAACTATTTGCCTAAGGAGTCGGGTTGCAACCGGGAACCATGTGGCAGGAGCTGAACGTGCGGGTTGTGTCCCGTGGTGGCAGCAGATCAATTGTGGGCCAGAGCGATGGCAGCAGACCAAGACTGGGCCAGTTCGGCGGCAATAGCAAGTTGGTAAGGCAGCGGCAGCGAGAGCGGGTCGGTGAGGCAGCCACATTCAGCGGCGAGAGTGGGCCTTTTGTATGGCGGTGGCTTCCTGGTTGCCCTACCGATTGGAGCAGCGCCTGCTCCATTGTGGAGATGGAACTTGGGACTTTAAGATCTGGACTTGTTTTCTTGTTTACCTTTTGGCTCAGTTAATATCTTTTAATTCTATTTTTTGTAACCAAGTGAGCAGCAGTGAATGGCGACTTTGTGCACTTTTCACTGTACTTATGTATTCCTATACCTAGTAGATGCGAGGCAGTGGGAAGTTTAGATGGAGCCAATGGATGTAAGGCTAGGTTGTGTTCACGACTCTGTAGTTTCTTGCGGTCTTGGAAAGAGCAGTTGCCAAACCACGTTGTGATGCATGCTGATAGAATGATTTCTATGGTGAATCTGTAAAAATCAGTAAGAGTTGTAACATTACTGTCAATATTTTAGATTTATTTAAAATCAAATTAATGCAGATGCTGGAATCTGTACTGAAAACAACAAATGCTGGAGATCACAGTGTGTTAGACAGCATCCGTGGAGCGAGAGCCAGCTAATGTTTCGAGTCTAGATGACTCTTCGGCTCTGATGAAGAGTCATTTAGACTCAGCATTAGCATGCTGTCTCTCTATGGATGCTGCCTGACCTACTATGATCTCCAGCATTTATTGTTTTCAGTTTTAGCTTTTTTTTTAACATTCTTACTACCACTAACTAAATATCATGACAATCTTTAGTGCCCACTTACACAACCAGCTTTTAGTGTGTCTTACTGCCACTGTGATTCCGTTTTGCGGTTGACTATATATCTTCAAATATGTACCAGATAGTGGGGTTCTTTTGAATCTGGTATCTGTAGTTCTTTTTAACAACACTAACCATTTACAAGATTATAATATCACAGAGATAGTCCAGTTTTGTGTTTTTGATGTTTGTGTACAGTACATATTCTTAACTGACTGACCGTATTACACAGAGACAGAAAGAGAGACTAAAGGCAAAATGAGTACCTTTATTCCAGAACGTCATGTGTTATGCTGTCATGTAACTATCTTAAAGATACATTGTCTGTGGAGTTTGGAATCATCATCCTAAACAAACCTTCTGCAGACTGATGAGGTCCCAGTTAATGTGTTTCAGTTGCTTATGTAGACAATTGGAATACTTTAACGAGGCATGTACTATCACTTTTACTGAATCTCAGGTTTAAAGGTAACAATTGACACAGTGTTTATTGCAATAGCGTCACCACTACAATTTTCCACAGAAATCTCCTGAACATATGCAACCTTAAGTCAGAGATACCATATTCATTTGTAGGTAATTCATTACCTGAGTGGTTTCAGATTTTCCTAGCTCCTGGTTAGCTGAGTCCTTTGTTGACAGGTTTTAAACTGTTGCCTTGCAACCTTCCTCTTCCTTCCCCACTGTTGCAGCCTCCCTCTCCTGACCTTGTCTTCGAAGCCTCCTTCTCCTTTTCCTGTTCTTGCAACTTACCTCTCCCTTCCCTGCCCTCCCCCTTGCAGTCTCTCTCTCTCTCCCTCCCCTACACCTCTTGCAGGTCCCCTGTCTTCATTGCTCCCTTACAGCCTTCCCTGTCTCTCCTCTTCCTCTTGTGTCTCCCACTACCCCATCACAGTTTTGGACTCCCTGTCTCCCTGAGCTACCTTGCAATCTTCCTTTCCCCAAAATCCCTGGAACAGCACATAGGTGGATGACTCGACAAAAGGGCAGCTCTCCACTTCTCCGCTTCCAGCTCCCCCTCCTGGCCTCTGCAGAACAGTGGCTGGCTGCTGGACCTTTGTTCCTGGTTCCCCCACTTCTGGCTCCCCTGCACTAGTACTTTAGCCTCTCCTCACTCACTGCCCCCAACAACCTGTCACACTCCCCCAAGGTCTCGACGTCAGCCACCTCGCTTCCATTTCCCAGCTGCACATTCAGCCTTTGATGTTGACCTGCCTTGCGCAATGACTGCTATAACATTTAGCAGATTTGAGGACAGCTGAACATCCAAAATAATACCAGTGACACCACTTTTAATAAGACATTATTGTAAGTGTGGGGAATATTGCCAAACCACATGGGCTAGCAGATAGTATCATGAGGTCTGTAAGCAGCATGTAATTAGGTTACTTGAAGGATGTTCGAATTATCTAACAGGGTGTTGCCACAGCTGCCAAGGATTTCAAATTTGACTCAAAAGGCACTGTTACGTGCTTGTTGCAGACAACATAATTGAAACAATGCTGTGTTAATTATGTAGAGAATGTCAGATACAATTTTCAGAGAATGACATAAATTAACAAAATCTGGACTTACTTGGCAAAAAAATCATGTTTTACCTTTCCTGCAAGATATCAGATTGAATGAAAAAAAGTTAAGCCAGCAAAAGACCCAGCAATTTTTATGCCAAGATTTTTTAAGATAATGCCGTTTGGGACGAAAGACCTGTCAGTTGGTGGAACTCTAAAACTCAGAATCAGAGCATTGTAGATTCAAGTTCCACTCCGTAAAAGAAAATTTATGCTGATATTCCAGTGCAGTTCTGAAGGAATGCTGCAATGCCTGTGATGTGTTCTTTCAGGTGAACAGTAGGCTGAGGCCTTGTCTGGTCTATTAAGTGGATGGAAAAGATCGCATGGCACTATTTTCAGTAGAAGGGGCCAATATTCATTCTTCCTTCAGCCTCCGAGAAATAGATTATTCAATTACTTTGCTGTTTCTAGCGGCTTGCTGTGTGCAAATTGGCTGCTGCATTTCCAAATTTATAACAGTGATCAAACTTCCAAGGTATTCATTGGTTGTATCATTCATTGGGACATCCTGGTTTTGAAAGGCGCTAGATAAGTCTGAGTCTTTTTCCAAAGTTGCAGCATTTTTGATTTCTTGATGAGTCCAATATATGTTATTGAGGATTCCTGCCACATGGGATGTTTATAGTTGTATATTAGCTTGCACAGTTCATTTCTACTGGGTAATGATGTCACACACAATGGTTATGAATCATTTACTGATTCAACTATGCAAACTGTATTATTGCTACAATACATTATAATACTATACATTATAGCATTAAGGCCACCTTAGTGAGATGCAGGCTAGTGAGTAAACACAGCTGTTTTTGCCAAGGCAAATGGAGTATTTAAGAAGTTGTAACTGGCAATTTGAAATTTGTGTCAACGCAATGATCATTTAATTCAAATTTTAGTGCTTATTTCCCACTTTGCGATATTATTTATGTTGCTTAATTTAAATTATTGGGTCATTCAAACTTTTAAAGCCAACAGAATCAGAATGAAACTTATCATTAGACAGGTGTGCTTGTTTCAATCTTAATTGTCGGTCGTGTTTCTAGTTCAGCGTCTTGCAGACTTAATAATGCATCTTATGTTTTTATTTCAGCTCTCAGATTCTGTTTTCAGTCATATACTTTGTCATGGCTATTTGTAGATTTTGTTGCTTTGTAGATATTTCTCAGGGAACGTGACATGAATAAGCGGAAGAAGTCATTCCCTGTGGCTACAAGTAAGTGTAAACATTTCTTCCTGGAGAAGTGACTGAGACTGTGTTTTCAGCAGTCTTGCTGACATGTTTTCTCAGACTAGCGTGGCTCAGTAGTTAGCACTGCACCAGAGACCCAGGCTCGAATCCACCCTTGGGCAACTGTCTGCGCGGAATTTGCATATTCTCACCTTGTCTGTGTGGGTTTCCTCCGGGTGCTTCAGTTTCCTCCCACATTCCAAAGATGTGCAGGCTAGGTGGATTGGCCATGCTAAATTGCCCATAGTATCCAGGGCTGTGCAGAATAGGTGAACTATCCTTGGGAAATATGGGTTTATGGGGATTATGTTGGGTGTTGGGTCTGGGTGGAATGCTCTTCGGAGGATCAATGTGGACTTCGAAAGATTCTAGGATTTGTTCTAATAAACAAATTAATAACCAAAAGAAAAGAAAATGTGATCATGATGTTCGTAAATCTGCATTCCCTATTAACAGCAATATTGAATTCTGTATTACAAATGAAGTTGAAATAAACCTGCACTGAAACACTGGTGTTACATAGTCCTGTCACAACCACTGTCCTGCCATCTCTCTCGCATATAATTTCTTGTCCTTTGTCTTAATCAATAGATACAGACATTGTTCTTTTGAATGTTTCTCCTAACTCTAAATATGCTTTCTCATACGTTCTTACTTGTTCATCAATCCTCAGTATCAAAATCAAAACTCACTTCAACCTGTTGATATCAAAATTGTTCTTATTTCTCCCATTCTTATTCCAGCTTTATGAGGTTTTGGAACCTAACCATAAGGGTCATCCATATACTTCATTTTGAACTGCCTTGCAACACTCTCCATTTCTCTACTTGGTTATATACTGCACCATGAGCCTTTACCCAGTTTTCCCACTCATCAGCACCTGTTTCGCCTTATTAAAAACACGTTCTCCTGAAAAGTACTGAATAAGTTTTACTTTCCTGCTTGTTAGCTACCCATATTAAAAAAAACAATGGGTTATATAACTTTCCAAGTATTAATTCATTTCACAATTAAAAGTGCATCCAACATAAAATGCCTGAGGAAGGATCACTGGACCTGAAACGTTAATTCATTTTTCCTTCACAGATGCTGCCAGACCTGCTGAGCTTTTCCAGCAACTTTGTTTTCGTTCCTGATTTACAGCACCTGCAGTTCTTTCGGTTTTTATAAAATGCCTTTTCTTCTCTGGAGCTGTTTGAAGCTAGATGATACAGTTCTCAATTTGCACCAAACGTAATTATTACATAGTCTTCTGTATGCAAATTGCAAAGTTCATAGTTTTCTGTGAGCAAAGTAATTTATTCTGCGTGACTGCACAATACGCATTATATATTTCTTTACCATGTACATTTTTCTAATATATTCAAGAGGAAAATCCCAGAACCTCCTTGGAGAATTATCATATATGTTACCCTAACGCTTATAAAAACACTGGGTTTCGGTATTCTGACAAATAGATGAATCCTTAACCTTGTCACTAGCTCCTCATCTGAGAACTGTCTGCTTTACTGTCCAACTGAGGTCTAGGACCAACTGACGGCAAAGTTGACTTGCCAAATGTACGCCACTCGGATCGTGTTGGATGAATTAGCCCTTTCATGCAAAGTCAGAGAACAAGTGATGCACTAACAACTATTTGTTTGCAAAATCACAATTGTGACTAACTTCAAAAGAAATCTTTTGTTGGTGTAGTGATTATTTATTTAAGAGTAAATTTGTTTTATCATTTCATTGAAGAGGATGGTACAATACCTGTTGTAAAGAAGGTGAAAAAGAAATGTTTTCAGTCTGGTGAGGAACAAGACACAGACACAATAGAAACAGAATGCAAGACTGTGACAAAAGAGCAAGAAACAGAAGATGTTTCAATAAAACCTGCCAAGGAGGAAAAACTAGCAAACAGCAATAATAATGTGGAACATACAGAGCACAGGTAAAGGAAACTTCTAAACTTTGATCTTGTGTGTAAGCTGCACAGTCAAAATAAGATTAACTCTGGATAGGTATTCATTGGAACATTGTATATTATTCTGTTTCTGAGTTCTTGGGCTATATCTTATATTTTGGCTAAGTGCCAGATTACTTGTCATTATCTCCCTACCTTAATTAGTTTGTATAGTTTTGGATTACTTGGTAGACCCTCGTCATGCGACTCTGATATCTACTCATATTATTCTAGCCATTTGATTTGTCTCTAGCACCATAGTATTTTTGATTATTTGTAATTATCTCTCTGCCTTAATTAATTGGTTCATAGGTCAATCCTTCACTTGTTATTCAGATGTTGACACTTTACTCATATTGTTTGACAGTTTTGATCACCTGCAAAGACTTGTTACTCAACCTGTCGACGGTCCACTAACACTATTTGTATTTATCTGTTGACACTTTTGATTACCTGGAATTATCTTGTCATTATCTCTCCGCCTATATATTCTGTGCCTGTGTGCTTCCCTCCACTTCAACTGACAAAGGTGCAGCGCTCTAAAATATTGCGAATTTAAATAAACCTGTTGGACTATAATCTGGTGTTGTGTGACTTCTGACTTTGTCCACCCCAGTGCAACACTGGCATCTCCACATGACTTTTATTATTGCCAGCAACATCTTCCCTCACTCTTTGTCACCGACGCCGACACCACTAACTTTGTGTAACCACCCACTCTACTGGGGGAGCTTACCCAAGTGCACCGAAAGTAATAGCTATGCCACCCAATTTATCCCTCGAATACCTGCCTCTATCTCATTCCAGCAGGAAAAAAACAGACCTCAATAGTGTAACGATAGTAACAAGGTCAGCCAGCTTACCTCATAAAGTATGAGTTCCCTGACTGGGCCTGTTAATGTGGTCCAATCAGGGAATCCTGGCTAACAGATATAAACAGGAGAGTCAGAGGTTTTGTCCACTCTGAGAGCTGGCTCTGCAGAATCTGGACCAGTGTCAAATAACTGTGCATGTGTAAATAAAGGGTGACTTGGTGTTGGGATATCGGCCTTTGTGGAGTAATTTCAAACAGGGCAGAAAGAATCAAGACTGATGATGGGCTGCCTGACATTTGATTTCTCTCCCCCTTATTTTATTCATTCATATTACTGGCATTTATTGCCCATCCCTGGTTGCCCTTTTTTTAAGCTCATTCACAGGATGAGGGTGTCTCTGGCCAGGCAGCGTTTATTGCCCATCTGTAATTGCTGAGACAACAGTAAAGAGTCAACCACACATTGCTATGGGTCTGGAGTCACATGTAGACCAGACCAGGTATGGATGGCAGATTACTTCCCTAAAGGACATTAGTGAATCAGATGGGTTTTTCCAACAATCAGCAATGGATTCATGGTCATCATTAGACTCTTAGTCCCAGATTCTTTTTACTGAATTCAAATTCCACCATCTGCTGTGGCAGGATTTGAACCCACGTTTCCAGAACATTATCTGGGTCTCTAGATTAACAGTCCAGCGATAATACCACTAGGCCATCACCTCCCCATCTTGAGAAGGCGGTGGTGAGCTGCCTTCATGAACCGGGGCAGTCGATGTGTTGCAGGTTGACCCTCAGTACCATTAGGGAAGGAATTCCAGGATTTTGACCCAGCAGCGCTGAGGGAACAGTCTTATATTTTTAAGTCAGTATGGTGAGTGGCTTGGAGTGGAACTTGCAGGTGGTGGTTTTCGCATGTATCTGCTGCTGTCGGCCTTCTAGATGTATGTGGTTGTGGGTTTGGAAAGTGCTGTCTAAGGATGTTTGCTGAATATCTGCAGTGCATCTTGTAAATAGTGCATCTTGTAGATAGTACATACTGCTGCTGCATAGCATCAGTGGTGGAGCGAGTGAATGTGGTACTAATCAAGAAGGCTGATTGTCCTGCAATTTGTTGACCCTCTTGAGTGTTGTTGGATCTGTACTCATCCAGGCAAATATGGAGTATTCCATTACAGTCCTGACATGTGCCTTGTAGATGGTGGACAAGCTTTGGGAGTAAGGAGGTGAGTTACTTGCTGCAGCATTCCTAGTCTCTGGCCTGCTCATGGAGCCACTATTTATATGGCAAGTCCAGTTGAATTTCTGGTCAATGGTAACCCCCAGGATGTTTGATAATGGGGGATTCAGTGATGGTAACACCGTTGACTGTCAAGGGGCAGTGTAGTGCATTCTGCCTCTGACTACCTGGGCGACTCACTGACCTTGTCCAAGCTCCTGAACTAGTATTGGAGGCTGCATATGGGAGGTGCCCAGTTTCTATGCAGTAAGTTCATGGGTGGTTTTCTCCACTCACAAACTTCTATCATCAAGATGTTTTGCCTACCATACAAATGAGTAATGTAATATAAGTTTCAATGCCGTTGTGATGCCAGTTACTTAGGCTGCATGTCCCAACGATTATTGGACTGGTATCAAACAACATGTCCTGATGAGCACTCGTAGTAGGCAGTAAGCTGATCGTGGTCAACCAACCAGTCCTTGCAAACCTCTATACATCATTAGATGTGATTCTGCAATTGGAAATCATTTATTAAATTATCTGAATTGTGCTAAAAAACAGTTTAGATTTTCAGTCAGGCCCACCATATGATGCATTTGCATGTGATGGTAGTTACATATATAAATACACAAAACCCTGGTTTATGTAGGCAGAAGGAATTCACGCATGCATTTTATCTTAGAAAGGGTCGTGGAGTCAGCCAATCACTGCAGTATCCCCATGTCAATGCCCTGACCAATCAGAAACTACCTGCCTCATCAGAAAGTTAAGACTGACAGTTAAGTGTTCTCGCTGAGTTTCTATTTCAGTGATGGCCCGACCTATCACTATTCCTTCCTTATGCTGTATAAAATGATGTCACTTTTTCCAAATCTGTTTCTCATGTTCTAGTTCTGATGAGTGCAAGACAAAATAGTTAATCTTCTTTTCTCTTTTCAGCAATTTTTATGTTCAGTACTACCAATGATTATTTATTTAGTGTACCCTGTTAGTGAGGGAAATTACCCCTTTTGGATAAGTTCAGGTATCCCTGTAGGAGAGGTGCAGGTGCTGTTTGGAATTGTTAACAGTTACTGAACGTAAAAAGTTCTCATTGAAACTATCAAGCTGTTGGTGTTTAATTTTGTGAGTCTGCAGTTGCAAAAAAAATTGCTTGCTAATTCATTGTTGATTCATGTAAACTTGAAGTCTATCATGATAAGATTTGTACTGCATGACTGACCTCATAACTATCATCATAATGGGGTGCCTATCAGTTTACAACTTGATTATTAACCCAAGTTTTTGATAAGGGGCCATGAATGTAAATGTTTGTTTTTATAAAGGATTAAGCATACACAGAATATCGGATTTATGGAGGTCTGACTTATGAACACTCATTCTTACGAGCCTGTCTCATTCAGGAGTGTAATGTTGAAGACCCACGATATGAACATTTCCTGTACTTACGATTGGCTCCTTTTCTTTGTCCTGCATTGTGTTCTGACTTGCATACAAATCAACTTGTAAACAGACTCCAAAACAGAACCTGTTCACAACCTGAGGACTGCCTGTATAAAGGAATGTATAATTAATGAGTTTACATGAATGTGAGTTTTTTTTTGTTTGAAAACAAAAGCCTGGATTTGAGTTTAAAGGTGGGTAAACAGATTAGGGTCTAGGCCTGAAACGTCAGCCTTTCTGCTCCTATGATGCTGTTTGGCTTGCTGTGTTCATCCAGCCCTGCACCTTGTTGTCTCGGATTCTCCAGCATCTGCAGTTCCTACTATCTAGGAAATTACCTGCCTCTACATGCCCGCCTACAAATTCTGGATTTTCATTGCTGAGAAGACTGTAGTTGGATTAACTGATGCCAGAAATGGTTTAGGCCACAGGGGCTATCAGGTGGACTGTATAAAAGGTCCACTGCTGTGCTGTGGGATTTTGTCCCAGTTTCCATGAAAAAATGTAAAGCCCTGTAACTCTCACTTGCTTACCTCCTGTACATGTCATCTCATGACCCCATGTCAGTCTATGACCACCCTACCCACAACCAATGGCCCCGTTCCAAGCTATTACAACCCATGGTCCCCATGCCAACCTGAACTCCTCCAACGATCTCCTTGTGGACCGTCTACCTGTCCCGAAAGCTTTTGGAAAAAAAAGGAATTCATTTATTCATAACATTTCACCTTTTATTAAAGAAAAGACCTTTATGACAGGCCAATAAAGTATCAATCATTGACGCTATTTAAAGTAACAATAGCAAAAACTGTAAGCACTTCAAACCTCTGAATTTTGTATAACTGACAGCAGAGATCAGAGAAGCAGAGCTAATAATCAGTGTTTTCCCTGCGGTCCAACTATTTCAGTAGTCTCATAGTTGTCTGTGCTCTGAGCTGTGCTTGTTATGCATTCTTGGCAGTGGAGCCTGCCAGATTGTGAGCATTTGGTGTGCGCACTTATCCAAACAAGACTGCACCCTCAAAAGGCAGTCCTGAAAACCAGAATACCCAAAAAATGTGCTCAGGAATTCTGCAAGTGGGACTTGCCTGCCATTTATAAAGTTCCTGAGTCATCCTGATTCAGCAAACTCCAGGCCACTGTCTTCAGTGGACACTAAAGCAGCATTCCTAAGCTGCACATCTGCAAGAGAAATGCAGGGATCTGTGCACGGCAGTTGCTGTGCTGATGTTGATCACGGCATTGAAGTCTGGTTCTGGAAGCCGCTCCCACACAGAGACGTCAAAGGTCCATACAGCCAAAATAAAATGAGAGGGAACGCTGTTCCTGAGTCTGCCTATGGTGGATAGTGGATGAGTTAGCATGGAGGCTATAACAGCAAAGAGTGGGAGCATGATTTGGAATGACTTGACCCTGCTTAATGGTATAAACGGTCTTGGGATGTATCGAGAATTATATGTTGAAATGAATAGCATGAGAGGCCGTGGGCAGAGTTGATATGACAGACATGGGGGAGGAGGGTGGTGCTAGTGTAGGGAGGAAGGTGTGTGAATGATACAGTTGGGACATGGGAATGTGTTGAGATGAGGGCGTGAGAGTTGATGTGGATAGGACATGGAGGGTGTGTGAGAAAGAGGTGTAAGTCTGTATGGTTGGGACAAGGATAATGTGTTGCGATGATGGGGGTGTGAGTTTATATGGATGGGGCATGAGGAGTATGTGGGGTCGAGGGGATGTGAGTTGGTATGGATGGGGCATAGAGATTATGTAGGGAGGATTGATTGTGAGTTGGAATGGATGGGACATGGACTAATTATGAGAGGAGGGTGTGTGAGGAATGAGATCTGCAGAGTTGTTCTTTCTTTTATTGTAATTTTAACAGTTGCAATGTGGTCCCAAATCACAAAGATAGTTTTTTGCAGTCTGACTTTGCCAGTACTATTGCCCCTGACCTTTTTAAGGGGTCTGCTAGGACCAATCCCTGAAAATATCATTTGTTTGTAGAAGCAGGTAAGTGTGCAAAAATCTAATTATTTTTCCTGTAAGTGGAAATAGAGTAATATCTCAGCTGTGAGGTCCTATTCAAGCACCTTCTAATTATCCCAGAAGCTGTACTTTGTATCGTGATTTGAATGTGGAGAAGCACAAAGTTTTTTAGGATTCAGTAATTCCTTAACTCATGACTGACTCTTGCAATCTGTGCGATGAGGTCAGAAATCACGTGACACCAGGTTATAGTCCAACAGGGTTTATTTGAAAACACAAGCTTTGGGAGCGTAGCCCCTTCGTCAGGAATCTGTGCAACAGTCGATCCTTTTCCCATTGCACCACTGTTTAAAATAATAAAAGAGGAGTGATGCTGGTAAAAAACTAGCTGATATTACAATTCTCAATCCTGCTCATTTGTGTTGTATATATATTATTGGAACCACATTCACTGCTGTTTCCTTCCTGTTTTAGAACAAGTATGATTCTACAAGAGGGAGAAGAAAAAGCCTGCGGAGCAAATAGATCACAGGATGGAGAACATTTCTTATTTCCACTTTCTCAGGTTTGTTGGTAAATTGCATGGGTTTGAACACTGTGTTCTTCACAGAATTTCAATTTGTCTTTTTGAGTCCAACTATATATGTATAAATATATATCCACCTATCTGAGAAAAGAGGATTAGGTTGTCTTATCTCAATCAAGTGTTGTGTACTAACAGTACCAGATCCTAACACTGTGTGCGGTTTCTCTGCTGTCTCTCTACTCTGCCATTGGATCTTGTTGAAAGCAGATTAGTTGACTACACGAACAATGAAATACTTGAAGAACTTATCCCTTAGAGTGAAGATAAGGGAGTGGAATCAGCCAAGTTGTCTCACTAACTGTGCTGGAAGCTGATGTTCAAGATTGAGTATTCAGTCCAGATCTTCATCCAAATTGAAATGAATTAATAATAGTAATAGTAATTTATTGTAACATGTATTTATGAAAATACAGTAAACTGTGTATAAGTCGTCATAAGCCTGCGTTATTTTAATTGCATAAATTATAAAAAGAAATATAAAGTTAGGACAAATTTCATTCTTTGTTCCATCCACAGTTTCTTCATTTCCAAAGTGGCTATGGGAATAAAAAAAAACAAATTGCTGAAAATTTGTGGGAAGGTGTTGATGTAGCATTAGTGTCATAAATCTAGAGACCCAGGCTAATGCTCTGAGGCATGGGTTCAAATCCCACCATGGGAACTTGTGGAATCAATTAATAAAACCTGGAATTGAAAGGTAGTCTCAGTAATAGTGACAGTGAGATTTTAAGTGATTGTTATAACAAGCCATCTGATTCACTACATTCTTACCTGGTCAGACATATAGGTCACTCCAGATCTACAGCAATGTAGTTGGCTCTTAACTGCCATCTGAAATGGTCAAGTCAATCATACAGTTCAAGGACAATGAGAGATGAGTAACAAACATTGGTGTTTCCAGTGATGTTCACGTCCTGTCAAAACATTTAAAAAATCAGCAGCTTATGACAGCATTTTTGGAGCAAAATAGTTAGCTTATCCATTTCATTAAGCATCTCTGGCCACTACTGTGGCCTTCCCACTTGATCATTTCTACCACAATACAGGGAAGTACATCTTTAATGAAGCCTCTTCCACAATAATATTATGAGTACCGTGTGGTAGAAGAGTCATCACACTATTCTTCAGCTGGGCTTTATCACGGTCCACCATATCATTTGAACGAAACTTAATAGAATGCTCCAAGACCTGAAGTCCAAAGTGGCGGACAATCCCTGTGTTATCTTTCTCAGCCAGATGTAACCCACACTGCACTGTATGTGGACTCTTCACAAAACTGCTCGTGCAAGTTACTAATAACTGGTAAATCAATAATTCCAGTCAGACAAGTTAGTTGGCAATGCCAGTGGAACTCTTGGGTGAAATTCTGATTGCAACGTTGTTAAAGGGCAGAGGTCTACATGGTGATGAGATGGGTCTGCCCTGTGCTGTGGAGATGTGCAAAGTGTGAGGCAATTAAGGGGAGAGCTTTGAGAGTGCCACCATGACAGGTGGCCAGTGCTGAGGGAGGTGGGTAGAAGGCGAGTGTGACAGGAAACTGGAGAACCCAGATGAAACCCAGGCAGACATGGAGTCAATGTGCAAACTCTACCCAGACAGTCATCTAAGGCTGGTATTGAACCTGGGTCCCTGGTGATGACAGGCAGCAGGTCTAACCACTGAGCCATTGTGCTGCCCTAAAAAAATTGAGCTATTAAAATTGGACTGCCCCCAATACAAAACATTTATTTCCAAAGTAAACCTGTCCTTTTCCTTAACTAACTTAAGTCTTACTGAATTATGGTCATTATCACTGAGATGCTCATCCATGGCCATATCTACCACTTGCTTAGTTTTGTTCTCTAAAATTATGTCCAGCACCACCCTCTCAAAACTGAGGTGGCCTTTGAGGGGTGAGCATGTTTTTATATTTTTAAATTTTTTTTCTTTGCCTTTGAAAATAGATAGAAACCCCACCAGTAACAAAGTTAGGGAACACAGGGTCATTTTTTGCTGGCAGTGGCCCCTTCTTGAGAGCTTATAGCTCTGGGAAGCTGCAGCAAGCAGTCTTCAGTAGCTGATGGCCTTCGCAAACAGCTGGGGCCATTCAGACACTGCTGAAAAGACACCAGCCCAGGAATATTGCCATGACTATTCAAATGGGCTGCCTGCTTCAGCTCCTGGGGAAGCTGAGCCAACGTGACTTCCAACTGTTGTCTCGGGTTCTCTGACTCCCAATCCTTTGCCCCATTGTAAAACTTCACCTCTGTTATTAAGGCAGAAGTGAGCATCTTTTGTATAGAAAGGTGAAGGAGACAGAATTGGTTTGAAAAAGGAAATTTCAGTGTTACTTTTTTATCACTATTTTTGTCTTACATTTTATTCAAAACATAAGACTTTCCTAAGAATTGTAACATAAGATTCAGAGATATAGACCGTTTACCTCCGACAGTATTGTAAGTGAGATCATGTAATTGGAATGTAGACCAAATCAACACTTTGTAGTCACAGCAATACACCGTAGTAACTGTAGCACTGATGAAATAAAACTGTTAAGTGCCTTAGATATAGACACCTTGGATATATGTTTCTAATGCTGTTATCTACCATTTCGTTAATCACACTTGAAATTCCAAGTAACTTTAAAAATGAGGAATGATCACTTGTTCAGCTGCTGGTTGTTGATTTTATAGTGGGGATCAAGTATCTTTTGAGCAAATGCTTTACATTTACTTTTGCTCAAAACTTTTCTCAGTCATTTATGAAAGTATACAGTATAGTATTCTTCCCTTGACTTTCCAAGATGGGCTCTAGTTATTGTTCATGCTGTTATCTGTCATAAGAGAAAGTAGCTGGAGTAAGTCATTAGGCCCATCACACCTCTTCCATCATCCAGTAAGATCATGGCTGACGTGATTATGGCCTGAACTCCACGTTCCTGCTGTGTCCCTATAACCCTTAGATCAACAATATGTCCAAATCAGCATTAAAGATACAATCAATGATCCAGCCTCTACTGTTCTCTGGGAAAGAGAACTCAAACAATGATGACCTTCTAAAATTCCTCATCTTTGTATTAAGTGGGAGATCCTTTTGTTATTACCTGCCCCTTAGTTCTAGATTTCCCATAAAAGGAAACATCTTCTCAGCTTCTCTCCTGCTAAATACCCACCAGTATCTATGTTTCTTTGCAACTACTTATCATTCTTCTAAGGTCTAATGAGTGCAGGCCTCACCTACTCACCCTTTCTGATGTAGCAGTGACAAGAGAATTTGCTCTCACAAAGTCAGAATTCCACAGATCAGAATGTGGGATGGCTTTTCCCTATGTTAAGGCTTTCATGACAGATTATGATTGCAAGGTCAGCATCAAAACTTCTCACAAATGGCTCTTGTTGCTGCACTGGTTGGTTCACCCTTAGAAGCATACAAAAAAAGGTCATTCTAAGCTACATCATGGACCAATTTCACTTAATTATGTCTCACATTTCGGTGTGAATGTTCTGCCTGAGTCACAGTACACTCTTGAGTATCACAATTCCACAGGGTTGAAAACTTCAACTTGCCTGTTACAAATCTGCCACAGAGATATACAGAATTTGTCAACATACAAACATACGAATTAAGAGCAAGAGTCGGTCACTCAGTGCCTCCACTATTCAGTAAGACCGAATTACCCCACATACCTGCCAATCCACAAAAACTCGCTTATCAAAAATCTATCTACCTCAGCATTAAAAAGATTAAAAGGCTGTACTTCCACTGCTTTTCAGGGAAGAGAGTTTCAAAGACATTACAACACTGTACAAAAAAAAATTCTCCTTGTTTCTGTGTAAAATGGGCAACTTCTTATTTTTAAATAGTGACCTCCCCCCCGCTAGAATTTCCATTAAGAGGAAACGTCTTTTCACGTGCACCTTATCAAGACCATTCAGGATTTGTATGTTTCAATTAGGTCACCTCTTATTCGTCTCCCAGCAGATACAAGCCTAGCCTGTCAAATCTTTCCTGATAGGCAATGTACCCATTCCAGGTATTAGTCTAGTGAACATTCTATGATCTGCTTCCAATGAATTCCTTCCTTAAATAAGATGATCAATATCCCTACATTTGTATTCAGTTCTTCTTGCAATAAACAACATTCTGCTAGCTTTCCAAATTTCTTGCTGTATTTGTCGAATAACCTTCTATGATTCATGGGCAAGAAAACTCAGATACCTCTGGATCTTGGAACTCTGCAGTCTATTTCTTTAGCTAATTTGATTCTTATTTATTCTTCCTGCCAAAATGAGCAATTTTTCTACATTATACTCAGCTTGCAAGATATTTCTGATTCATTTGAGCTATCTATATTCCTTTGTAGCCTCCTTATTTCCCCTTCACAACTTACTTTCCAACCTGTCGTTGTGTCGTGAGTAAATTGAGTAACTAAACCTTTGTACCTTCATCCAACCTGTTTATATAATTATAAAATCTTGAGGCCCCAGCAATGAATCCTCTTGTACACTACTTGTTACGTGTTGCCAACGAGAAAATGACTGCTTATGCTTTTTTCCTGTTTCCCAGCCCATCATCTGTGATGCCAAGATGTTATTGTACATCATGTGCTGTCATTTTCTGCAATAACCTTTGTGACTGCTTAACAAGAGCCTTCTTGAAATCTTGAGTACAGTACATGTACCAATCTCCCTTTATCCATAGCACATGTTACTGCGCCAATATAAATATGATTTCCCTCTCACAAAACGATGTTGACTCTACCTGATTATCTTGAACTTCTCTGGTTGTCCTGCTATGACACTTTTAATGATAGCTTCTTCTAGTTCCCTGTGTCAGATGTTGTTCTGACTGCCTTGTCTGCTTTCTGTCTGAGTCTCTTTTTGAATAAAGAATTATATTTGCTACTTTACAATCCAAGAGAAACTTCCCTGAATCAAGGGATTTTGAAAAAATTAAAACTAATGCTTCGACTATCTCACTTGCCAATTACTTTAAGACCATAGAATGAAGCCCGTCAGGGCTTGGCCACTTGTCAGTCCACAGCTTCAACAGTTTACTCAGTATCATTTCTCTGACAAATGTGATTTTCCTGAGTTTCTCACTACCTTCCATTTCCTGGTTTACAGCTATTGCTGGGATATTTGTATCATCGGTAGTGAAGACCAATGCAAAATAGTTGTTCAGTTTATCTGCTGTCTCCTTGTTTTCCATTTTTAATTACATGGACTCACTAGAAATTTAAAATGGAAGTGTTCCATTCCCCAGCAATAATATTTCTCACCTTGAAGGAGTACAATTCATAAAAGGAGCAAAAGAAAGGTTACAGCAAAGGACTATCCAGTTTTGGAACACTTTTATTTCAATTTCTTATCCCGAGCACCCAATCTAAGCAAATACATACCTTTGAAATAACTTAGTTAAATCTCACATGTATAGTATATTATTGAATTGTTAGTATGTGATGTGGGCACTGGTTTATTGTTTAGTTCATCACACGTGTATTTCTGGCCACTAGAATCAGGAGTTTAAGGGATGTTGCTATATTAAGATACTGTAAATTCTGGAAATAGTTCAGAAGAAAAACTGTTCCATGTCTACTGGATATATTTAAGAGCACATTTGCACATGATGAGTTTGTACAGAGTGCTATGAATATCTCAGTCAACAAATGTATTTATGGATTAATTAATTGTGTTGCAGACATCTGCAATAAGAAATATTTAATACAAAAGGATTTTTAAAAGTTTCTCCAATTTTATTTTTACTTCACCTTGTTTTGTACTTTGATCTGATAGAATTCAGTGGGAAAATATGTTCCTGTCTTTGCAAAACCAAAAAGTCGTCTTTCCCGCAGTAATTCTGTGAAGCATGATGTGGAGAATACAGGCAAAGAGGTAGTGTGCTACAGTCATGTCACGTTGCTACAATACAGTACTTGCTGAATTATTGTAACTGATTTTGTAGAACATGGAATCAGCAAGTCATATAGCACGAAACAGACCCTTTGGGCCAACCAGTCCATGCCACCATAATCCCAAACTGAACTAGTCCCACCTGCCTGCAATTGGCCCATATCCCTCCAAACATTTCTTATTCATGTATGTATCCAGTTATCTTTTAAACACTAATTGTCCTCACATCCATCACTTCCTCTGGAAGTTTATTCCACACATGAATCACTCTCGGTCTGAAAAAAGCTGCCCCTCATGTCTTTATTATTATTAAAAATCCAGTGAGATTTTGCAAATTTAGCATTTTTTTGTCCTCTGCATTGGGTTTATTTTCTCTATGTAAAACCACCCCCAGTTGCTCTGAAAGTGCAGAACAGTTGTAATCTTCAAAGTTTAGAGCAATAAACAATGTAGTTTATTCACATCGTAATACTAATCCTTTGGTTGCTGCTAAAAGAAATGATTTTGCTTTAAGGTATTTTAAATAACTACCATGTAAATCACACAAGATGGTATATATATCTCCTCCATCTCAGTTATTTCTGTTTGGATCAGTGTGCAAAGTGTTTTTCTTCCCTTCTTTAGTTCCTAATGAGGCTCTTTGACTGTGGAAGGCATCATGGGCTGGGCCTAACTTTGTATATGTGTCCAACAACGGTTACAGGACAGCTGTTGGAAGATTTTCCCTTTGGCCTGCAGAAAATTGAAACTTTCCATTCTCTTGATTGAGATCAGAATTGGGCCTAAATCCACCTGGTCTGCGTAGCTTGGCGACATACTAGGCAGTGCGCTTAACTAGCCAATTTTTTAACTTCAAAAATATAGTTTATTCATAGAAATATATTTATATACATTGCATAGTGACTAAAGCAGTTTGATTTACATCAAACATCATAGGCATTTCTTACCTGTACAAGACTACACTTACATACATTTCAGGTACCAGGAGGGTCTGATAACCATCCCCCATTTAACTTTGGCAGAAAGACCTCAGATGGTGGTCTTTCCCCGCTCATCCTAGGAGAACCTTTTATTTCAGAAATACTTTATTTATAAAAATGTCTTTACATATATTTTTAGTCACTAAAGCAGTTTGTTTCTGTACAGTAGTGTAAGAAAAAACAAACACCTATTGGAGTTTAACTCTATCCAACTAACAAACCAAAGGTATTTCTTCCTTGTACAACACTATATTTTCATATATTTGAGGCACGGGGGAGGGTGTTCTAATAACTGAATGGACCCCCATTTAACTTTGGCAGAAAGACCTTAGATGGCAGTATTTCCCCACAATGCTTTGATGGCATCTGCCCCAACCTTTAGCACATCTCTCAGCTTACTAGCCATGACTGTCAATAAGAGTCTTCCTATGACTCTAGTTTTCAGCTGATACTGGTACACCAGTATGTGGTAGCAATGACCTACCTTAAAGTTGCTGTAAGAAAGGAACTCATCAGCCTGTAGTTTTCAAAGATAACATACTTGAAAATTGCGTATTTTTATATAGTGTATATTTTATTTTTTTGCATACTTGTAAACGAAACCATACTGATCACTCACTTGTACTTTTGAGGTTTGATGATATGCATCAAAAATCATAATTAACTACATTTAATCAGACCTAGGCAAGTTCTGATTTAATTTCTTTTGCATTTTCTTACTTAAGAGCTTAAACAACAGTAAAGTGGATGGCAACAATAGTCCTCAGAACATGGATCTTGGAAGTTCAGAATTTTACCTGCCTGCTGCCAAACACCAAATGCAGATATCACAGCAACCACCAGAGCAGACTGCCTGTAACACAACATCAAATCAGTTAAATCCAGAAGGGTCAGGGAAAGAGATAGATGATGATTCTGTTAAAGAAAGGAGCAATGACGATGTTTTGCCCTCAGACATGCAAATAAGGACACAGTTTGTAGGTCATGAGACAAAGGAGCAGGCTTGTCACTCAGACCAAAAAAATCTCAAGATTAGTGAAGAAAAAAATAAAAAGAACAAATTGGACCACCATCAGGCTGAAATGGATGTGTTGTACAGCACTCCGATCCCAATAGCTCACAGCACACCTTATGAATCGCTGCCAACTCAGTCAGACTCTAAAACACAGAACTCAGGCACATGTTTGTCTGATGAACTTTTGCACCATTGCCTTTACCAGGAAAAGACTGATGTTGTGCCAGTCAGCCATGATGAATTGACCCTTTGCCAGGATGTGAAAAAGGAATGCACGATAGCAAGCAGTAAGGAGGTCGCTGAGAATGAGGAAGGATGTGTTCTTGTATCTGAGACATTAAAGAATTCTGGTTACAAAGGAAAGACTAATAATCTTCCAGTGGTCTGTGAAATGCTAACTGGAAGCGAAGTTAACAGACAAGAACTGGCTGTCCAAATGAACTTGATTGCAAGTACACCAGCACAGAATGATTTGAAAGGTACTACTTGTTTACAATCCACTGAAGACTTCTGTTCCAACTCCCTCCACCCGTCATTTGCCACTAATGTTGTAAATCAGATGGACTACACCTTTAATTCACAAACTGATGTGATAGATAGACAAAAATATGTAAAAGAGGAACTGCAAGAGCCACCCAGCTCTGTGGCCAGATTAAGCATTGCAATAGGAAATAATGTCCAGCAAAACATAGATGCTTGCCAAAAGGATGATGACACGAATGGGCCTTGCAGCTCTGGCACCGAAGTGACCATCAGCACAATTCTGCACATAGACTCAGATGACTATCAAGTTAAACCTCAGCTGCAGTCCAGCCAATGCTTTCTGGAAGATAAAACAGTGGGGATTGAGCATGAGATTCTACCTGGGTACCAAAACGAAATGGACATTGAAAGTCAGAAAATTACCCAGAACGTTTGTAAAAGCTTTCATAGTCATGAAGTTAATATCGAGCAGTGCAGCTCTGTGAATTGCAGTCATCCTGGTGAGGAAACAAACCAGCTGAAACAGGAAAAATTAAGTAATAATCACAGCAACAGCCTAATAATGACTGCCTTGACTGCTCAGAGTCATGCTGGGCTGGAAGAACAGTGTGTTGGATCCAGGCAATCAGAGTTTTCAGAAGCTGCATTACTTAACATTATGCTCGGTTACTGTCAAACTGATCTGCTTTCAGCAAACAAGCCAATTGTTGCGTCTGAGAGCACTGGGGCTTTAAAAATGAATAATGTAAACAGCTGTGGTTCAGAACCCCAACCTGGCCTTAAAGGTAATGTCACTGGATCACAAGAGCTGGAAATCACAGAAAAAGCCATACCTGTTACACACCTCAGTCCTTCTTATACAACAGTCCATTCAATCAAGACTGAAAGTGTTGTTGCCACTGAAGGCCGTGATCATCAGATGCTTTTTGACAGTAATTGTGATGGAAAAGCTATGAAGGACAACAAAGAATTAGGCATCAAATTACCACTGGTCATTACTGACGAGCTAAAATCCAGCATTTTTTCATCAATGGATAACATGGACCGCCAAACTGAAAACAATTCACAGAAAAATTCTGACAGAAAAATCAAAGAAGATTTAGGTAGAAGACAGATTGAACACAAGGCTGACATTAAAAGAACAAAAGAAGATGTTTCTGTAAGTTTACCAGGCACTAGCACAGAAGACTGTATTGATAGGCATCAGCAGGATGATAAAACAAAGAAAGAGATTGAAGGAAGTAAATGTGAAAGGAGTATATCTTCAGGCATAGAATGTGGAGGTATAAACATCAGTAGTATTCAGGAATCAGTTGTAGAACAATCTGCTCAGCTCTCAATAAGTCATATTGCAGAGAAAGAACTTTCAAATGAAGCTGGCACTCTTGATGAAACAGATTTCCCTGTGGAAAAGTTGGACATGGAACTGGATTGTGACCTCGTGTCCGGAGATGTGAACACACTACCCAAAACTGGTCCAAATCTCGCAGCCATTCCAGTAGCCTTTTCACTGCAACGGCCCCCTGAAGATTTCACAAAGAAGCACGGATATCTTTCAATGATGTTTCCGCCTTCACGTAATGAAATGCCAGGTTCTTGTTCTGAAGGTAATGATGTTGACACAGAAACTGGCTGCTATGACAAACTTAAAAAATATCAGGGAATAAATGGCAACAATGAAAGTAAAGGCTGCAGATTGCCTGTGGTGGATGTGGGTTCCTGTGGTATGGAGCAGGAAAGTAAGAGGACTGTGCGAACACCTCTCGGTGCAGACCAAGTGACTAAAAGTGAACAAAATGGATTCCCTTGTGCAAAAAGCAAGGTAAGGATGTCCTTCTTAATAAGGGTTAAAAGCACTACAACAGCACAGATACTCAAATAAAGCAACAGAATAAAAGTTACCGACATCTACTTTTAACAATGATATTTTAATCCTCGGCTGCAAACTTATGTTGCAGAATATAATCCGATTTTCTTTTAAGGAGCTGTTTTAATTTCTCTGTGCCAAGTGTTACTGGCTGAGTTGGTGGCACTGTTGCCTCTGAATCAATAGGTTGTAGATGCAAAGTCCTCTTCAACATATAGTCCAGGCTGATAATTGTGTAGTACAGTGGAAGTTTAGCACTATAAGAGGTACCTTATTTCTGCTGTGACTTTAAGCTGAGGCGCATTCTTGGTGATTTGGTGGAAATGAAAGATTTCATTGTGCAATTTCAAGTGATGAGTTATCCTAAACAACATTCCATCCCCAACTGACATCATAAATACAATATAACATTTTGTTTGTTTCACTATTGTTTGTAAGGCTGTTTTGTAGATAAAAATGATTGTTATGTTTACTTTTAGATTACCCTTGTGTAATTTGTTGTTCATGTCTTGTACACATTTGCTTTACTGAGTGAGACTTCTAGTAATTGGAACATCCTCAATAACAGAGACTGTTTTAACTGTCTTTCATGAATATAGCTGCCCTGGACACTGTTACAAAATATTTCTTGCCAACATGTACTGCAAAGTATTAACAGTGATCAATAAACATAATACCGTCATTGTGTTTTCTTGAAATTTCTCTAAACTTTTGGATCCTTTGTTTTAGGTACTAACCAAACTCAGTCCTCACGAGGTACAACCAGGTAATTAAACATAAAATGTAATCAGTAATGCATACAAGATAGAAAGACTATTATGTACGTTTTTAAATGAAGTATTAATTTTTTAAATTTGACTTGTTTTAGTCATTTTATTGTTTTTATCCTTTCTGATTGGAATATTCCACGGAGTGCATCATTCTTGAAAGAACACGTACAGTTGAAGGCTTCTCAGAAGTTGTGAAGTTGGTCCAGAGTGACTGGCTGCCTTCATTTTTCATTCTCTTTTAGTGGTTGAGTCCCATGCTGCTCCATAGCAGTGAGCCAGAGATCAGGAACTGGACTGCAGGAGGAAATATTGTATTAGATGGCACAGCATATTGCAACTTCTTTAGCAAATAGCCTTAAGCTCATTTGTTTCTTTCCTACTTAATAACTAAATCCCTTTGCACTGCTTGCACTTTGGGATGCAGCCAATCGGATTCGAGGCTTCTGTCAGTGTTGAACTGAAACTTGTTGCTAGGACATGTTTAAGAGTGCCACAGCATGCTTCTTCCTGACTTCCCATTTTTTTCTCCAATCTAGAAGTATACTAGCCCTTTCAATCTGACAGTGATGTCAAGATTCAGAATTTGCTGTGAAGAATTTTCGGCATAAGTCCCACTCACAATGTACAACCCATTCAAGTATTATTTTTAAAAGCAAAATTTTCCCCAATTAAAAAAGAGGGAACAATTCCTTCCACATGATTATCCCTGGTAGCTTCTATAAAGTCACAACATTCATTATAATGAAGCCTCGTCCCTATGTTGATCTATATATGTGTAACGGGCAAATGCCAATAAAGCTGAGAAAGACATTCAAATATATTGCATCATAGAGGTTGAGACAGATATATTGTGAACACGATCAATACAAGGAAACTTGTAACATAAGAGTTCATCCCAAACTTTAACTCAAACTTAGGCTCTTTTCCCTTACTGCTCTGAAGATTGTGAAGCTTTGTGAATCCAATATATCTGTTACTATAGTGGTACTTCTCTTTTTTGACAGAATATTTGCAGTCATAATTTGATCAAAAATACAATTTTAAGATATCAATTTACCAAGAATTACTGAGTCATACAGAACATGAGTATTGCTGAAAAAAAATGCATTTGTCAAACCTTTTGGTCTTGCATTGATCAGGATAACTCCAAGAATACCAACTTAAAGGGAGAACCAACATTTACACTGCATGAGAGGGGTGTGCCAATTAGTTGGCAAATGGACTCTGATGGGTAGAGGTGTTACCATAGGGAATGTACCAGTTAAAGATGATTGACAACTGACAGCCAGGCTTTTACTTACTTGATTAACAGTCAGCACTCTCCTGTCTTAGAGTGTAAGTGTTGATTTTCCCCTTGATTTGGAATTCTTGTGGATTGTCCTGATCAATGCAAGATGAAAAGCTTTGGTAAAATGTGTACTTTTTTCAGCAATGCTTAAGAATTATTTATTCATTCTGGCATTTCAATTAATTTTTAATCTCAGCTATTCTGTAAGAGAGAAATGTGACCATAATTTAGGTGCTTCCTTACAGGGAAGGAAAGTAAGTTCATAAGGGTTCACTCTTGGTCACTTGCACTATTGAACAGTATAGACAGAACACTTGGTAGGAAGATAACAGTGGTACTTCATATAAATAGACATAATGAAGTAAGGAAAGCAGATCTTAATATTGACAAGGCTATTTGAAAATCCAGGGACCATAATCAGGGCATCAACAAAGCTGCAAGAGAGAAAAATCAAAATTAATCAAGGAATTCATTGCATGATATAGATCTTAATTGCCTGCAGATTATAGAAAGAAGAGACTGCTGAGAGAGGAATACCTCAACTATTACATTACAGCAATTACAAGCAATTACATTTGGGAATTTTGACATCCAGTAAACACACTGTTGTCTCTGCTTTCAGTTGTCTGCTATACAATTCAATGACCCAGTGTTTGTTGGATAATATTTAGTGAACTCTTGAAAAAAACTCTTGGGCTTGTACTCACCGGAATTTAGAAGAATGAAGGTGGATCTCATAGAAACATACAGAATTCTGATGGGACTGGACAGGTTAGATGCGAGAAGAATGTTTCTGATGTTGGGGAAGTCCAGAACTCCGGGTCAAGCCTAAGAATAAGGGGTAAACCATTCCGGACTGAGATGAGGAAGAATTTCTTCACTCAGAGAGTTGTGAACCTGTGGAATTCTCTCCCACAGGAAGCTGTTGGGGCCAGTTCATTAGATATATTCAAGAGGAATCTGGACATGGCGTTTGTGGTTAAAGGGATCAAGGGGTATGGAGAGAAAGCGGGAATGGGATACAGAAATTACATGATCAGCCATAATCATATTGAATGGTAGTGCAGGCTGAAAGGGCCGAATGGCCTACTCCTGCAGCTGTTTTCTATGTTTCTAAATAAGAATCCTGTAATAGTGCTGAGCTGTAAGATTCTTTTATTTCAAAAATACACTTTATTCATAAAAAATATCTTCATACAGTGCTGACCCGTAAAATGCTGTGAAAGGGATATCCTCACATCATAGGGCAGGTATGATGACAGGGAACCCTTATTTGGTAATTGCTTCTTCATCTGCCCTATACAGTCTAGCTGAGATAGAAATGTAAAGAGAAAGATGAGAGTGCTGTAAATCTGAAATTAAAATATGAATGCTGACACAAGTAGAACACCGGGTAGTGCTATGGATATTGTACATTTGGACTTTCAGAGAGTATTTGTTACGGTGCCACGGGGCATGCTGGTTGGCAAATAAGAAATATTCGAGATTGATAGCAGCATGGGTTAGAAATTGACCAAGAGATAAGAAACAGAGGATGGGTATAGATGGGCATTTCTCAGATTGGAGACAAGTTGAAAGTGAGGGATCATGTTGGGACCTTCGCTTTGATTTTTTGATGTTTACAAATGATTTAGAGATAGGTGTTAAGGTTAAAATCTCTAAATTTGCAGATGATATTAAGCTAGGGAGAATAGTGAATTGTGAGGAATGTGATGCTGAGCAACTTCAGAGGGACATTGACAATTTGGCCAAATGGGCAGACACCAAGCAGATGAATTTCAATGCAGAGAAATATGACAATGCATTTCGGTGGAAGAAGCTCAGAGAGACAATACGGGCTTTGAGGGGAGTAGAGGAGCGGAGGGACCTGGGGGTTCGAATGCATAATTGTCTGAAGGTGGCCAGGCAAGTTGAAAGAGTTGTTAAGAAAAGCTTATATGATCATTGCGTTTATGAATAGAGGCATACAGTATAAAAGCAAGGAAGCGATGCTACACCTCTACAAATCATTGATCAGACCACATTTGGAGTATTGTGCTCAGTTCTGGGCACCTTGTTTAAAGGAAGAATGTTAAAGCCATGGAGAGAGTGCAAAGAAGATTTAATAGAATGATACCAGGAATGAAGGATCTTAGATTCAAGAAAGATTAGAGAGATTGGAGATTGGACTTATTGTCTTTGGAGCAGAGAAAATTAAGAGATGACCTTATTGAGGAGTTCAAAGTTATGAATAATTTGGACAAAGTAAAGAGGCATATTCTTTTTCTACAAATTGGTATGTCAGTAACTAGGGGTCAAAGTTTCAAATTTATCAGCAAAAGAGCTAGGAATGAGATGAAGAGAAACTTCGTTACTTCTTGTGAGAATTTGGAATGCGCTGCCTGGGAGAGTGGTGGAGGCAGATTCCATAAGAGATTTCTAAACAGAGCTGGATATATATTTGAAAGTGATGAATTTTAAAAGGCTATGGAGATAAAGTGGGAGAGTGGGACTAGTTGGGTAGCTCTTTCGGGAGCTGGTACAGACATGATGGAACAAATGGCCTCCTTCTGTATTGTTAATTGTAAAGGTCTGATAGAAAGTAAGACAAAAGGAAAGACAATCATCAGACTTGAGATTTTCTGGACTCTGTAAGGATCCTTGCAAAACTAAATGTTAAGAAGATCACTGAATTGGAAGAACTTTGTACCACTTGCCTGTATTAAAACATCCACAGAATTACACAGTAGTTTCTGACTACAAAAACATTCAATGGTAATTGCTAATGGAACATAATTTGCAAAAACTTTTTGTAAGCAATATTTCCATGATCCTGAATGTAACGAACATAAACGTTCAGTCATTGTGACCTGTAAAATTGTAATTTGGTGGAACACTATTGTAATTAGTGATTTAAACCAAAAAACTGGTTGTCCTTTTCTCGCAGATGTTGAAGATTACAAATTACAACTCATTATACCAACATTAGAAAATAGAGCAGTGATGGATCTTTCACAACTCAGTGCCCCTCAGGAAGATAATGCTAATATATCTGAGCTGGAAGATCTGCACTTAAGGTACCAGTTAAATACTAACCGTGTTTTTTAATGCATAAATGTGACATTAGACATTAGGTGCTGGATGAAGAGATCTTATCTTTCATTTCTGGGACTTGAGTTTAAACAGCATTTGGAATGAAAGTATCTATTGTCCAATGAGTTTGAGGTGTTCTCAAAACAATTTCTAGTTGCCATTAACTCTTACTGAAAACTGTGCCTCAATCTACATTAGTCGGTAGAAACATAGAAATATGGAATAGGAACAGGAGTAGGCCATTCAACCCATCAAACCTACACTACCATTCAGTATGATCATGGCTGATCTTCTATCTCCGGTTCATACTCCATACTCTCCCCATACTCCTTGATGTCTTTAAGGTTTAGAAATATATCTATTTATTTCTTAAATATACTCAGTAATTTGGCTTTCACTGCCTTTTGTGATGGAGAGTTGTACAAGATCCCTATCTTCTGAGTCAGACATTTCTCCTTGTCTAGGTTAAATGATCAGCCCTGTATCCTGAGACCGTGTCCTCTTGTCCAAGATTCCCCCCAAATAACCATACCGGGGACACATCATTCCTGCATACAATCTCTAGGTTTCAATGAGATCCCTTCTCATTCTTCTAAACGCCAGATAATACAGGCCTAACCAGTCCATTTTCTGTTCATTTGATATTTCTGCTGGACCAGGATTCAGTTTGGTACTAAATCGACAATCTTATCAATGGATACAATTGGATAACCAGTAGTTGTGGAAACAGGAGAAGCGTCACAGTGGAAAGGCAAAGCCTTCTGATTTTAGTTTGAGCCTGCAGTTACTGTGACCTGCCTTAACTGTGAGGGCTTAGTGATGACATTGGTGTTAGAATTAGAAAACTGCCATATTACAGATTCAAGACACTTATTGAAGAGGATACATTATTTCCTATTCTTGTGTAAATCTCTAACGATCTCAAGCTCTGAAATAGTTTTCTGGATTTGTTTTTAGAGGACTTGATTTTACGTCCTGTTTTAATAATATTTAACATCTAAACAGGTAGGAGGTAGTCATTGGCTCTTAAAAACCCATAATTAAATCTTTGGCTTCAATCTTAGATGAGTCATGAACTGATCCTGGTTAAAATCCAGAATTACAGATGGAGTTCAGATAGGAAATAGGCGGTTGAGTTGAACATTTAGCCCTGAGAATTCTTCTTAGGTACGGTTTTATGCTGGCTGTTTGATTGCTTCCATTATGATATAATCTAAGTGCATTTGACCTTGATATGTTCACAGTGAATCCGACTGGCAGGCCTTTTCGCCTTCTGCAGAAGAAGAAGATGCTACACATGTTGTCTGTGGTCTCATTAATGAGCTATCCAAAATCAAGTAAGTAATCTTTAGAAACCCCAAATCATTTGTGCACTGTTATGATTTCCTGCATTTTTGACAACACTTTATAAACGCTGAAGGAAAAACAACTGATATAAGTGCTAACATCAGAGTAGTTATTTTGATCTGAATCATTGAATGTTGTGTGGATCTGTTGAGCTTTGACATTTAATGCAGTGATTGCTGCTGACTACTTCACACATGATTGACAAGTTGTGTTCAGGCCCATCATTTGAACTAGAATGTGAGTCATTAGAGACCTATCTATCTTCTGTGATCATAATCATTTCACAAAAGCTCAGTGCTATAGGGAATTTATGGGCATTCAGTCCCTAATAAGATAAGTGTGGAGGTGATGGGTACGAACCAGGAAATTCCACGAAAGAGTAAGATCTGTGGATCCAATATCTATACTGGTAGACATTCCAGTGGGGACTCAAAACTAACCCTAGACATGGCCAACTTGATGCAGCAGGTTAATAGACTCAGGATATGCCAGAAAACTACCATCAATGCTCAGTAGCAGTAGAGTGTACCATCTACAAGATGCACTGCAACAAATCATCAAGGCTCCTTAAACAGCACCTTCCAAACCTTAAAACCACTACTATCTAGAAGGATACGGGATAGCAGATGCATGGGAACACCACCACCTGCAAGTTCCCATCCAAACCACTCACCATCTTAACTTGGAAATATGTTGCCGTTCTTTCGGTATCACCGTGTCAAAATCCTGGAATTGCCTCCCTAATGGCATAATGGGACTACGTACAGCACACCGACAGCGGTGGTTCAAGATGGCAGCTCACCACCACCTTCTCAATGGGCAAGTTAGGATGAGCAATAAATGCTGGTCCACACAGTGAAGCTCAAACCCATGAATGATCAAAAATATATTCAGCTAAGCGCAGGATGCTTTTAGCGGCTATTGTGAGGAAGAATTATAAAGTTTAACAGTGGGAACTGGGCCTTGTACCATTCACAGACCAACGTCAGCAAGAAGCAGCAAATGAAATAGTGAGGTGGGCAGAGAACAGGGCAGCAAGGAAATGGAGAATGCGGCAGTAACTGAGAGGCTGCAACAACAGGCGTGCAACGACAGTGCGGGCTAACAATGATGACATTGGTAGCCCTGACTTCCTATTTCAATGCAACAGCAGGAGGTATAGTGTTTGTGGCCATATTTTCTCTGCAAGTCGAACAAACCCTGCTGTTTCATGTACAGCCAGTTAATTTTTTGTTCTCAGAGTTAGGTCTGTCCCCTTTCCCCATACGAGGTGGAGAAATGGCTGACGTTTAGGATTCAGATGGCAAGTTTGAGCAAACATTTTGTATAGAGTAAATTATATTAAAGTGTAGTGACTTCTTAAAAAGCAAACATAGCATTGAACAATAAGAGCAATGAGATGGCCAGCTGACAACTTTCGTGAAGTATTTGAACACTGAGAGGACCAAACCCTTTATAAGCAGCTTTGGATCCTTGGTTCATAAATCACTGCTGACAGTGCAGCACTCCTTCATTATTATACTGAAGTATCAGCTTTACCTGCACCGGCCCTATAATGGGATTTGAGCTGAGGTGAGAACTCTGCAAATTAAGCCAAGCTGACATAATGAAACACTGATTATGTTAATCTATGAAGTACATATTCAAGCATCGTATCATAATTGTCTCATGTTTGATGATCTTCTTAGTCGTGTCATTATGATCACTCGTCGGGAGCTGGAGAGCATGCGACGATACAAAAACAGGAGAGTGAGACCAGTTGGCAGGCACCTGCATATCTCAAAAGGAACAACAAATGTAACATATTCGATGAAGAGGAAAGATCCATGAGAAGAATTACAGCTTGCAACCTGATAAAAAGGTTCATGATTTACATATAGGTGCAAAGTATTTACTACTCAGAAACAGGCTGTTCAGCCTAACAGGTCCATGTCCTTCCCTTCATAACATAATCCCATCAGTGTATCCTTTTTTTTCTCTCCCTCATGTACTTATCTAGTTTCCTCTTAAATGCAACTACCTCAACTATTTGTGCAAGCAAGGTCTATCACCCTCTGAGCGACATTTTCTTCTCAGTTTCTGATTGGATTTATTAATGATTGTTTTCCCTTTTTGGTCATGCCTGTAAGTGGAAACATACTTTGCATAATCTGTTGGCCAATTTCATTATCTTAAATACGGTAAATTCTGACTTAAAGTTGTTGTGCTTTTGAAGAGTGCACCTTTAAACAAAAGCAATGTTAAGTGAATCAGATGTTCCCATTAAAATCAGAGTGAAAACAGTAGTTAGGTTCTACAGGAAATTTCTCATTAGAAAGAAACAATATCAAACCTTTATTCCCTGTAATTTGAAATACTTTGTTAAATTCCTGTATTGGTAACTAAAATATCTTCTAAACTAAAATAAATCTAAAAATGTAAAAATATCGTAACTTTCTACTTAGCTTCCACTAACGTCTGATCCTGCTCTTGAGCCTTCTGCTTGCAATACATAAAAGTCCCTGACTCTTCTTATCTCTGCCTACCCTCTGAACTCTGTCTCTCACCTTGACCCTCCTGATGCTGCAGACTCTCTTGTCATCACTGCCACTCCCTGACCTTCACAGTTGTAGTAGATCTTCTGGTCGTGGTCTCTGCTGCTCCTTGAACTTTCCTGTCACCAACATTTCCCCTTTCCAAATCTCCTGCTGTCTGCCTGACCTTACCACTTTGCGCTCCTGAACCCTTGCTTGACATATGCAGTGGGGGCAAGGGAAAGCAGCAGTAACAGCAACCCTGAGGATCAGGGAGTGACAGAGACTGTAAACCAGTGAAAGGAAGGACAAGAAGCAGCAGAGTCTGCTCCAAAATGATGGGTTCATACAGCCCACTGTTAGACCTGGCTATAAATTACTTAAATGAAATTCACAAAACAAGATTATGGACCTCATAAGCTAATTGACATTAAAGCAAACAACTTTAATAGGGCTAGAGACCAAAAAACTGCTGATGTTGGAATCCAAGGTAGACTAACAGGTAGCCTGGCTTGCTGTGTTCTTCCAGCCTCCTGTTTGTCTAACTTTAACAGGTCAACTTAAAGCGGGTACTTTTACCAGGTCACCCCTTGTCCCTCCTATTTCCTAGTCAAAGTAGCTGTTTAATCTTTCCTGATAGGTGTGATCCTTCAGTTCTGGTAGCAACCTGGTTAATTTTCTTGTCTGCACCTTCACCAGTGCCTCTATGTCTTTTAGTCCAATATTCAGATCAGAATTTCTCTGCTTCTCAACTCTTGCCCTTGAGAAATGAGTCCTGATGTTTTGTTCTCTTGTGTTAAAGGTAGCCTTATTAATCTGTTTCACCATTTATAATCACTTATGTATCTTCACCATCAAATCCCTCCCATCTCTAATCCATAGAAATGTTGTTTCCAAGGTAAGTGGGCTCTTTTTTATTTCGACTGGATTGCACCACCTTACACTTGACTAAATGCAGTTCATATGAAAATTAAATGCCAGTTGTGAGAGTTTATTAATAATATCTTCTGGTATTTTGTTGCAATCCTCCTCTGTATTTGCAATAACCCACCTCTGAGGCACTGCCCCCCCCAATCAAGTTTGGCATCATCTGCAAATTTTGAAATGCAAGTTGCTCAAGTAAGTGATAAATAAAAGTGCACCCTTTTCCAATCCTGTACAATGTCACTTGCCACCTATTACCAATCTGAGTAACTACCTTTATCTTTTTATTCCCTGTTTCTGTTTTCAAGAATACCTTTAAACTATCATAAGAGCAAAGCTTGTTCTCTTTGGTTCAACTATTAGGCAGGAGAGGTGGAGAAATGAAGGAAGAGCAACAGAAACTAAAAGGTCACCTTCAGCAAGCTGATTTGCATCAGCACAGAGTCAGGGATACTGTGAGATGGTTATCTGCAAGATAAGCAAGTGTGGAATGATATCCTCTGGTCAGTATTTTTCTTTAAGTCAGTAAATCCAATGCCTGGAGAAAATTATCCCCTCAGGATTACAAGTACAATCAGAATTTGTTAGTTAAATGATGTCTGCTGGACTATGCTCCTGCATGAATGACTGTTTAGTCAGTAACTGTACCACCAGTTCACTTATTAAAAATATTGTTGTTGTCTCACTGTGTTCAAGTGTTTGTAAGCTGGACATGAAATAAAGTTTCCTCAAGTATACTTGCACAGTTTTTAAAGTTTTGTTTTTGCAGCACAAAGTAATTGAGTTGGAAGAGTTTACTATTCATAAAAAATCATCCATTTGCTGTTTGTAATGAATTTAGGCATAGACAGACCAGAGGAATTCTTGCTCCCAGTAGACATTCTGAGAAGAGAACACAAAATGCAGTATTTCCAGATCTGCAGAGTTAACACATCCTCGACTCTCCAAAAAAGTTCTGTGCTTTTCAGTGCTCATAAAATGATATAAATGATTCTCAGATTTATTTTCTTGGCTCCCAATTTAACCTTCCTGCTTATTAATAGGATACCCCAATAATAAAAAAAACCAAGATGAATTCTGGTTTTTATTATTCAGAGATGTTTCATCACATGACTTCCATACCCTCACTCCCATCATCAATGACTTAACACATTTGTCTGCAGCTGTATTGCCTTTCCAGTTGGAAGGAGTAAAATTATTTTGTTACCTAATTCAGGACCTCAAGGCAGTTTATTTCCCTTCTCCAAAACCTCAAAAAGAAGTGAACAAAAATATTTGAAAGACATGAAAAAAAATACAATTTTTAATGCCCCTGTGATTCTCCCTCCCTCCTGCCCTCATGTTGCTCATATCTGTGTCACGGAGATAAGTCTTTAATTCATTGGGATTCTACAATTATCCTGGCTAGCTGACCACCCTAGCAGGCTATAAATCCTAAATGGAGCAGTATAATTAAGTGGGGAGGTGGAGGAAAGCAAAAGCTAAACACAGCAATTGAAGTATTGCAACAGTCAGACTAAAGGTCCACAGGAGAGACTCCTGTGGCAGTGGGAACATTCATTAGGGCCATTCTATTGGTGAAGGTCAAAAAACAAACATGAAGTGAGATAAATAGCAATCAAGCTCAGGTCTCAGTGGCACCCTTTGTTGAATTTCACAGCATCAGCTACAACTTTACTATGTGTCACTTCTGTCACATCACTGTACCTATCGAAGAAAGGGATTGTTAAGTTCTTTCCATTGAAAGATTTAAGTTTCTTTGTTTTTTAAACCTAATGTTGGTAGATGGAGAATTAACTTTGAAAGTCTACAAAGGGGTTTTACCACACTGATACTGCAGTAATAAGGTGTGTTTTGAGATTTTTTGCTGCACAGTCAAACCTCATATGTAGTGTATTCTGGTGGCATGTGAACCCACTCTGGCAGACTGGACTCTGCCCTAATGGACCAACACTGTAGTTTATATCTGAACAGAGGAGGGAACAGAAGTCATATGTTACAAAAACAGAAATTGCTGGCGAAAGACAGCAGGTCTGGCAACATCTGCAGGGATAAAGCAGAGTTAACATTTCAAGTCCGGTGACTTCGTCAAAACTTGCCAGAATTGAAACATTAAATCTGCTTTCTCTCCACAGATGCTACCAAACCTGCTGACTAATTTCTGCTCTTGTTTCAGATTGCCAGCATCTGTAGTTCTTTGTATTATTGTAGAAGTCATATGCTGCTGTGTATCATGGCCAGTGTTTTTTCTAACTCTGACCAGCTGGGGCAGAACGAAGACTAGAGTACACTTAACAACTGGGAACTTTGTTTACTGTCAGAATCTATTATCATTCCACTCCTTGCTTTAAAGCACTATACTTCAAGGGATATCAAAAAAGTGGAATCTCAAGGCCTGAATTTCTCTAAAGACAGACAGCCTCACCATTTTATTAAAATGGCTGCGGAGACCAGAGACCAAAGTCTTGTACCAAAACATGACACTTAACCTTTTTGTGGGTATGGAGGAATATTACTAAATTGCTCATAGAGCCCAGAAACAGACCTTTCAGTCCGACCAGTCCATGCCGAACATAATCCCAAATTAAACTAGTCTCACCTGCCTGCTCCTGGCCCATAACCCTTTAAACCTTTCCTATTTGTGTACTAATCCAAATGTCTTTTAAATGTAATTGTACCCATCTTCTGTGGGCTACAGAGTTAACTGCTCAGGTTAAAGTGCAGCTATCTCATACTGATCTGATTTTCGCTAGTCGGATGTCTGCAACGTGACTTCTACACGTTAGAACAGGTAGGAGAAGGTCCAAAGCTTCTGGACTCCTTTGGAGAGGT